GAACATTTAAATATGGATTTGTTCATTTAGATTGACAAGCTACAGATAACTCCTGTGCAAGCATGGCATAATTTAATAAATAAAGGTTTCGCCTTATTTTACACCACAAATCTTTCATTTTGAGAATTATTTAAATTTAATAGCTTTTGCTAAACGAGAACTGTTACAAATGTCTATAGGTTTAGCCCAGAAAGTTTTAACGGGCGGAACTAACAAAATAAATTCGATCTGAGTCGATTGTATCAATATTTAATTTCTTTCTAATACCCAAAATAAAATCAGAAGCCTTAAAATCTCAAACACCTAATTTATGTGATCATTTTATAATATTAGTTTAATTAAAATTATATCATTTCAAATTAAAGCAAGATTGCATTTTCAACCTAAGAGTGTATATCACTTTACTCTATTCTTTTTTATATGTCGTGATCCCTCATGGGGTAGGCGATCATCGCTCTCCACAATTTCCTGTCCTTCATAGCTGTTTTTTTTTCTTTTAAACCTTGTTCTGCCATCCACTTACTGAAGCTCACTATGTTATGCTCTGTTTCCTCTGGCTATCTTGCCTTCAATCTGTCCTGTGAGTGTCACATTTTCCAAGCCCTCTTTCTATGTATCCTAGAAATTTCAACTGACTCTTCCTGATGTTAAGTATAAATTTTCTTTTTGTTTTCATTGTCACTAAAACTTCGTCAGCACTCACACATTCTGTCCATAGTATCCTCAGTATCCTTCTGTAGTATCACAGTTCTGTTGTTTCATTCTCTTCTTCATCTTTGAGGAGATTGTCCAGCATTTAATGCCATATAGGAGGACAAATATCACGTAAGAGTTTAGTGCTCTTTTCCTTGTTTCTAACGAATTTTTCTATTTCTTAATACTCTGCTTAGCTTTTGGAATGCATCCCATATCCCAACGCGCCTTCGGATTTCATTGTCGCACTTCCTGTCTATATTAAAACTTTTCACATATATTTAAATTTATACAACATGAAAAATATCAGTTAAAAAAGCGAAATGTTTTGTAAATTCTCAAACCCGATTCAGTGTCCTTTAGCTCATTTGGATCACAATGGAACTATAACAGCAAAGGTTTGTCTTGGACAAGAAATTGCACGAACAATAAAATATAAATGAACAGAAACAAATCAACTAGTTAATGATGAGAAAATGTATTTATATAAATTTTACAATAAAATTTATTAATCAATATATGTTTTTCTTGTCAATGCATTTAATTCAGCGTAGAACATTGATTACATGTATGGAATGTTGGAATATAAGATTGAGGACTCGGAGAGTTGAGTTCGAATTCCAGTCGAGTTCGGGCACGTGGAAATACCCTTGAAAAAGATATGAATTTATCACTTTTCCTTAGGTATACGTAAATGGCAGGACAGACTGTGTTCTATAACCTTGGGTAGCTAGGAGAAGAACTGTGAATTCAAAACCTCCAACTATGCGTTAAATAGCCTCACCAACCCACAATTGGCCAAAGTACGGCTACACACCTGAAGACAGGGTCAATCAGGGAGGGGTTTCTCCAAAGAGGGTGAAGGCCGTAGATTGGGCCCTGGAATTGTATAATGAGCTGGTACCTGAACAGTGAAATTTCAGATTAAAATTCAGCAGCTTCTTACCAAGAACAAATGCTTTGAGGAACCGACACCCCCAAAAAATGCTTCTCCGGTCACTATAATCTTAACCTGCTCAAATCTAGAGTTAATAGTTATCTCCCCTACATATACGTATAAACCCTCAACTTCAAGTGACCCTCAGGCCTTGTACAGGGTGAACATTATTGTAAAAACAAAATCAATTCGTCTGTGAGAAAGGGTTGTAAGGTGGAAATTAATTTGCCACTCTCAAGGACACAGAGACGCTTTTGGATTCTATCAAGGCGGGAAAGTGAAAACTGGGCAGCTCCTGGCAGCAATACTCCATGTGATGAAATGTTATTGAAGATGTTAAATGAAAATACAGATTTATACTGAATTTGTTTTGTCAGCTCTCGTCTCACTACGCTACCAATGATCTGTGTGGTTATTCTGTTACTAATCGTCCTATGGTAGGTGCCCTTTCGATCTAGTTACCGCAATAAATTCATAATTAAAATGTAAATATAGGCATATGAGACCTAGACCAAAAGCATTTGATAAGATATAACACAAAGACTTAGATGAATTGAACAAATAGACTAATATAGAAAAGGGACATAAGGCAAGAATGTGTCCCCCCACAGGATTTATTTACACTGAGGTGATTCTAAGAGAAGTAGAAGTCCTATCAGGATTTGTTATAATAAATATAATGTATATATAGCTGGCCAATTGTATTGGCGGATACCCGTCTAATAAGGTGGCTAGCCAATCCATATTTCAGACGCTTGTTCAGGCATATTTGTGCTTATCCAACACTCACAGAGCCCACCTGTGGTTTATACTGCAACTATGGTGAGCAGACTTAGTTACAGTTTCTGGGGAAAAGCGTGTTATCTAGCGTGATCAACAATTTCAACAAGGCCAGCGCGCTCAAGCCCTCAGTCACGATGACTTGTAAACTTCGAGCTAGCACAGATATTGACAGCCCCCAAGGTTTCCGTCTACACAATTTCATTCACAAGGCAACCCGTGGTATGGTTTTCAGGCACTTTCCAAAGGTGCCACACGCTGGGAACGACCCCTCCAGTCCTATAACATCAGGAAGTCTCATTCCTGATAAATCGACCATGGTGAGATTCGAAGCCGGGTCTCATGGTTAGAATGCTCACGTTCTAACCACTCAGCCATGCTCCATAATAATTATAATAATAACATTGGATATACACACGGTGTTGATGACAGACGCAGAAAGTAAACTTCAGGAATAAGAAGAGAAACATTGCTTAGAACTACAAGGTATTAATGGAAAGAAAAGAAACTATCACTTGTAAGAAGACATAATGTACTTTGGTTAGCAAGGACAGCACAAGATGCTACCTACGAATTGAAGATATCTGAATCAAGGAAGTACAAACATTAAAAATCGATGCCTTATAACAGAGGACAGAAATGATAGAGAAATCCAACAGTGTATTGAAATAGAGACAGAAAAGTAAAGTATGAAATGACAGGAAAATTTCGTTAGAAAAACGGTGCTGAATTGCCATGTAATGTCAATCCTCCTATACAGCAGCGTATGCTGGACAATTTCCTCACAGATGATGAAGAGTTCTGGGGCAACAGAAATGTGGTTCTACAGAAGGATGCTGAGAATACCATGCAACGAGGCAGATTAAAGAAAAGCACAAACAAAAAGGATACTTATACTTAGAAAGAGTCAGTCGAAATTTTTGTAACACGTAATGAAGAAAGAATGCTGGAAAATTTATATTAGATATTGATTGACTGATTCGGTTTTAACGGCTTATCAACCCATTGCAGGTTATTTTTTACATTATAAGAATTTGAGTCGATGGGGGGATATATAATAATGATTTAGTGATACAAATATTAATAATTAACCCATAGCTGGGGAAGAAATGGTGTGTTCATGCGTTTCCCAATAGTATTTGCGCGTAAATGAGTATAACGAACCCAACTGGAATTGGAACTCCGTTCTTCGATTAGCAACTCTGAGTCATTATCCATTTCTCCACCCGTACATCCAAACTTACACCCCGCGGTATCCCTAAGAGGTCATCTAGTTAGATACTAACCAGGTTCGACGAAGCTTAACTTCAGTGATCGTACGGGAACCATTGCTTCAAAGTGATATGGCCGTAGTCCTTAATATTTACAAAAATAAGACAGGAAAGAGAGAAACATTGAGGAGCCTACCTATCAAACTTGTGTAAAATGGATGGCGGAATATAGAGTGAATGGTATAATAAGAAGAGAAACATTGCTTAGAACTACAAAGGATAGAAAGTTATGGATAGCTATGATCGTCCTTGATCTGAAGGATCACGACACATCAAACAGAAGAGGAAGACTAATTTATATACATTTCAAGGAAAATAAGTATATATTCGACTCTTAGGAAATGGAAAGCATGTAAGTATCTGTCTATATTTCTGAGATGACATGTTATGTACACTATTTAAATTATTAAATATTCCAACTCAGTCCAGATAAGCTTACCCGGTACATACCGTTGGACTATAGACTTTGGATATTGTTTCGTACTAACCAACCTTCGTTCTACTAATCACTCTATTGTTAATTGCTTTTATGAATATACCAGTATTTTCCTCTACAACTGTGTTTGTCTTAATTCATACACCGACACGCGGGAAACTCACAACATCTCAACAGTTTGTTATATTCCATTACGCTCAAATGCACTTCGGAAAGGTAGGAATCCACATCTACTCCCTCAGCTATTGGTTAAATAGTAAAATTTATATCAGTAAATCATTATTATCTCCCCCAAATTCTTAGAATCCAAAAATATTTTATTGCTTTAAATAACCTACAAAGGGTAGATAAACCGAAAAAAACAAATCAATTTATGTACTTCAAACGATATTCGCAATAAAGAGCAGAATATGATTTAAAGACATGGCTAATTGCAAAAGATATTGCTGGGATCTTGTGCAATTAGCCTAATGAAAATAAAATTAAAACACATTTTTTTTAATGTAGAATATAAAGAAAAAGTGTTAGAAAAAACAGATCAGCGAAATTATTAAATAAAAGAATCAATCAAATATTCTAATTATGCCAGAAAAATACGATTCCAAGAAGAGTCCAAGAATACGATGCCAAGAAGGGAAATTTACCGGACGATCAAATCGGCTGAAATAGCAGTTTAACAAATAAAAATGTTAATGGACGAATTCCATAAATGAAATTCATGTCCAGTTATTTCCACCAAATTTTCCAATATTCGTTTGGAATTAAATGTCTTTTATCTGGGAAGCAGGTTATATAGAAATTTTATCATTTCCATTTTGTTTTTATGAACGAATTCATATTTTTATGACATTCTTCCTTTTAATACCTTTTATTATTTTCATAGATTCATTCACCAAGGCTTACATTCATTTTCATTCTTTTTCTTTCGATTTACCAGCTCCCACTTCATTTGATCGTTCCTTCCTTCCTTCCTTCCTTTCTTTCTCCAACATTCTGTTTATCCTGTATTAATTTAATCATTCAAGTTTTGCCTTTATTCATTTTTGATTTTATTTATTTTAATTTTTCCCATGCGTCATTCGCACAAGAATTTAAAACAGCTTCTTTCATCCGATGTAAATTTGACTCATATACCAAGTCATTAGTACCGAGTTTATTTTTCAATGAGATTTCCATGCGTATAACATTGTGACAGTTTTAACTTATCCAACAAATATAACTTCTAACTGTATTTTCCTAATGTTTATCTATACAAATCCTTTATAGTGAGGCTTTCTTTAATTCTTTCAATTTGAATCGTTTTATTCATGTTCTTGATGCAATTGTCAGACATCTCTCAGCATTTCAGTATTCTTGCCATAGTACAGTAGAGTGCGCTTGTCGTATAGGATACAGAAACTCCTAAAGATTCCTAAAAATTTTATAAATTCAAATCAGTATAACACTAATTGTTCGGTCAACAAATGTAAAATGTTCCTTGGAAACGGTTAATTTTAACATCGCCATTAAAAATAAAGTTTATTCCAGCTTGATTTAAGGGTAAAAATCACGTACTTTATGGTAGGCTATATTGTTCCCATGGGGCATAATAGGAGGGACGTTCCAAAAGTAATACCTCCTATTTAATTCAATGGAATGGATAACAGTTACAGGGAGCACCATTAACAACTCTCCGTGTAGAATCTTTCTAATCTTGAAAACTGGCTTCGAGGTTTTGTCAGTGATTATTTTCCACTCCTCAATCCCTTTCTAAAAGATGAAAAGTTGCCAGACTCTCGTTAATGTATCGCTATTTCTATAACAAGATACATTCCTTAATTCCATCATTTCTAACCAGTCACGGTCGTAGGGTTGCTGGCACTCCGAGCAAGCTGAACTTCGGCGCACTTACAAGTATATATTTTTTTTAATTTTCACAAGGCGAAAAACTGAAAATGTAGAATAATGACTTTATTACAATATTCAAATATACAAGCTAAAGAAAACATTCATTATCCTACCTGAAACATTTTTTAACCTTTAGATTCGCAAATATTTTCATGGCATTTTCTACACCTATCTTCTTTATAAAATCATTTTCTATTGACAAAACAACCAAAGAATTTAATGTCTTGAGTGATGGATGACTACATGTACATTTTTATAAGCTGTAATTTTTACTATCCCAAACACACGACATCGCGGCATGATGACACCCTCGGCCTTAATGGCGTCCAGGTCGACTTCCCGAGTTGTCAGTACCTTGAGCCTGCCCTGATTCTAACTTTTATAGCTGAAACCCGTCATACCACATACATCCGGACGAATCATCAACATTCGCTTCGTACTTCATTAGAAAGAAAGAAGTTCTGTACATTCTAAAAACGACTACTTTGTCGAACAATAGGATGCTTTCCCGGTCACTACTCATAAATTACACTTTTTAGCTCCATCCCTCACGTTCATGAAATTACCGCATTCAGTAACCTTCTACATTTAGTGGTTCTTGGGCCTTGTATTGGATGAAGGATTAGTAAAATAAAAGTTTGGGTTCCAAAAGATTATTTTTTTCACCTGCATTTTTGCCAGCGATGAAAAAGAGCTTGCTTACCGCGTTAGTGACAATCTGTAAAAATACAGGCGATCTAAATTTTCGAACATATTGATGTCGATATTGTTGTAATACATTATCTACTAACTGTACTCCTACCAACTGTTTAGACTCTTAAAATATTCAGTATGTCTCCATAAATATTAATGAGTGCATTATTTTCGCATACAGGGATGCAATGGCACACCTCTGTTGAGCATGTGCTTTTTATATCAGATACTGTTTTACCAGAATGCCGCTTAGTTGTTATCTGTAACAAGGCAAAATAAATTATGTGTTAATGATAGGAGAGTTCAACCTCTACTGCCAGTCTGCCAGTATCCACTTCTGATTCGTGGGTCATAATAAAACAGGAAGCATTACTTTCGGAACGACCCCCCGTAACTCTGTAATGCTATAAAAAAGCAAAGACAGAAAGATAACAGAAATATCGTTTAAGCAGATCGCCAAGAAGGTGGGTAAATTAATATAGAGGCAAGCCGGAAGCAAAGAATCGCGTGCGCATGCGCCATGATTTTGTATCAGAATGATCCCTTTAGTCAACAAAACACCAGCCCACAGAATGTGCGAAAAACGGTCCCAGTAAAGGAGCGTCAACTCGATCCTCTGCTCTCCCCATCGAGCATTTCATATTTTTCATGGCATCCGCTTAGGCTGCCATGCCGGAAGGGCTTCCAAATATGACAGCCCGTTCAAATTAATGACGTCACCAGCTCGTTGCGATAAGTCGCTTTAAAACGTGGAAGCTGTAAGAGCAGATGTCAGCAGGAATCTGGCTCACGAACGCAAGGTGTAAGCGCAGTACGGACCTAAACCTCATCCCATTGGTCCCCGTCCACCTCGCTCGCTTCGTCTTCGTTTGCCAGTCACGTCCGGGCGACCTTCACTCGAACAGAGATAAGCTCGGATTTTAATTTCCCAAACCCATTCTGAAAAGAGACAATAAGTAATCCTCAGACACGGATGCCCGTTGGTCGGTGATGGTTTGGGGAGCTCTGTCAGTCAGTCAGCACGGAAAAGCTGAAGACGACGTTCATTAGTGAATCCAGTGTGTTGTCTTTCCCTCACTAACAGTCACGGAATGAAAGAAACTTTGGCGCCAGTTTTTGTCTCACGCAAATAGCGACCAAAGATGATTCCCCCGAGATGAGCACACGAAAACGCTTAAAATACAGATGCATAGTAATGGCGGCTCATACTTAAACCTGAACATTTAAACATACACGCAAATACACCATTTCAAATATATATGTTAGCCATAAATTGTACGACGATTACGATACAAATCTATGTAACTTTTTAAGTGTATGTTAACGTGCGTGTTTCTGTATGTGTATTTGTGTGTGTGTGCGCAATTTTGTCAATCAGTATACAGGATAATAATTAAAGGAGCGGTTCATCTACATAAATATATTATGTGATGTGCGGATAACGTAACGGTTATCGGTGCGAAAGTGGAATCGGCGGCCCAAGTTCAAGCTCCACCCTTGTCCGCTGCATTCATATTCACACCAATGCTCTTGTGAAAACTGTGAATTCACCTCTTCCCTCCTCCCACTTCCTCTTCCCTCCTCCCACTTCCTCGTCCCTCCTCCCACTTCCCAGATATGATGGACTAGACACTCTAGCTTTGGATTTCCAACAATCTAGAAGGGCAACAATGAAATCAAAACCCTGGAGAAAGCAACGAAAAACCACTCTACTACCTTTCCAAAGAAGACAAAGGCAATCCAGATGATAAAAAAAATGAATTGGTGGGTGGGGGCGATCGCCTGCTTTGCGAAAAAAAACGTGGTATTTAAAAATCAAACTAAAAGTTCTAAAAATGTTCGACATAATCGTTTTCGTTATCAAGGCCCTTGAACGTTTCTACATAAACCACTCAGAAGATTATCTCTCTCTCTCTCTCTCTCTCTCTCTCTATCTATCTATCTATCTATTTCTATTAGAATGACAAACTAGATAGACTGTGACAATGAAAGAGGTATGATTCATTGGTCTATCTATCAATCTATGGAGGATGTTTGTAAAGTATGTTATAAACAATCGAAAATCTAACATGTTACTTGGCAAATAAAAAGAATTGTGCAGATGTCACCAGCCTGAGTATACTACTTTTCCACTGAAATTGATACACTTTTCCAATCGGTGGGCGAAAACTAAATACACTTCTGAATAAATACGTGGCGTCAAATGATTCGAGCCTCTGCAAAAACAGATTCATCTGTATGAAACAGCTTATCGGGTAAATGTAGCCTGTTTGTCTGTCTGTCTGTCTGTCATATATATAATAGATTTATTTTTAATCCGACATATATATTACTTCAAAAGTTATTATACTAGACTACTGGAAAACTGGTGACCCACTTTAATTTATTAAAGAGTGTTTATTACATCTATCGGACTTGGCACTCGATAAAAAGCAAGGAAAATCTGTTTTCTGACAGGGATTTGAAGTGATACAAATGTCGGATTAAGAAAGGAATTGTATTAATTCTTTAAAATTTGCTTTGTTTACGTTTCGGGTATAAAACGGAGCAGTTGTGGGCTTTCGAGAAAAATATTCTGGTTGAAGAAGATGAGTTTTCCTTCAAAAGGGAAAATGGGGCCTTGCTTACTGTGATGTACTTGCTAGCCTGTTGGTAAAATACGCCGGATCAAACATTGGTTATTCTTACAAAAGGGACGCATGTTTGATCCCTACCCGAGAAAACAATTTCTTTATTAAGATTTATCCAATGCATAGGCCGGCAGGCGTAATACACACAGTTTAATTAATAAAACTGGGACGTCTATATCAAACAAGAAATGTCCACTTTATTAACGTAACATATATATATATCCTAGCTTGTGGCAATCGGAGGTGTAGCCACATTGATGAGCTATGATACAGCGAAACAGTCTGTCTGTGGATCACACACACACACATATATATATATATATATATATATATATATATATATATATATTTATTAAAAAGACATTTTTTATTTATGTTTAACGTTGTTATTTTTATAGATACAAGTATTTAAGCAAATGCTCTGTTTATGATAAACAGTATTAAATAACATTTACCGGCCTGAATGTCCGAGAAATTTTCATAGAAAATATTCGTTCATAGACAGGATTCGAACCTGCATCCTATACGGAACCGCCATATACGCTGGCGTGCCTTGACCACTCGGCCACCATGAACCTTATGGTAGACAAGGTCGAATTTACTGTTATAAACTACAATCTTCCATGAATCTCGTACATTCATAACTGCTCTGGCGTATCGAATGTAAACAAATGACGTCATATGTTAAGAAATGGACGAGGTCCGACAATTTATTTATTAAAGACATTTTTATTTATGTTTAACGTTGTTATTTTTATAGATACAAGTATTTAAGCAAATGCTCTGTTTATGATAAACAGTATTAAATAACATTTACCGGCCTGAATGTCCGAGAAATTTTCATAGAAAATATTCGTTCATAGACAGGATTCGAACCTGCATCCTATACGGAACCGCCATATACGCTGGCGTGCCTTGACCACTCGGCCACCATGAACCTTATGGTAGACAAGGTCGAATTTACTGTTATAAACTACAATCTTCCATGAATCTCGTACATTCATAACTGCTCTGGCGTATCGAATGTAAACAAATGACGTCATATGTTAAAGAAATGGACGAGGTCCGACAATTTATTTATTAAAGACATTTTTATTTATGTTTAACGTTGTTATTTTATAGATACAAGTTTATTTAAGCAAATGCTCTGTTTATGATAAACAGTATTAAATAACATTTACCGGCCTGAATGTCCGGCACGCCATTTTTGCGTATAGAAAATATTCGAATCATATGAACGAATATTTTCGAAAATTTCTGCATCCTATACGGAACCGTTATTTACGCTGGCGTGTTTACCACTCGGCCACCAGAGCCTTTGCTTAAACAAGGTCATTTATAAAAACTACAATCTTAAAACATAAATCTCGTACATTTAATAAATAAATTGTCGGACCTCGTCCATTGTAAACAAATGACGTCATTTGTTTACATTCGATACGCCCGACAATTTATGAATAAAGAGATTTTTATTTATGAAGATTGTAGTTTATAATAGATAAAGTATTTACAAATGCTCTGTTTACCATAAACAGTATGGTAACAGTGGCCTGAATGCACGCCAGCGTTTTCATGGCGGTTCCGTTCATATGCAGGTTCGAATCCTGTCCTATGAACGAATATTTTCCGAAAATTTTCGGACATTCAGGCCGGTAAATGTTATTTAATACTGTTTATCATAAACAGAGCATTTGCTTAAATACTTGTATCTATAAAAATAACAACGTTAAACATAAATAAAAAATGTCTTTAATAAATAAATTGTCGGACCTCGTCCATTTTTAACATATATATATATATATATATATATATATATATATTGAGCACTCTATGTGAATCAGTTTTAATATTTTATATTATATTATTATGATTCACTTGGATTATATACCAACGGATTATATATATATATATATATATATATATATATATATATATATATATATATATATAGAGAGAGAGAGAGAGAGAGAGAGAGGTGTCCCCCAAAAATTGACATTTTGTAGTTTCATAAAATAGCCGATTCTCGCTTAAATGATCTCAAATTTTAACAAAATGTGTAAAAGCTAAGCTGCCTGTGCAAAATTATCTCGATTTGAATCTACGTGGAAGATGGATCGGGTGTATCAGTGATAATGACAATGTGATGCTGAAATAGCCACCACGTTCACCTGACTTGACACATTGTAATTTTTTTCTATGGGGCTATGTGAAAGAACAGGTCAATATACCCACTTTTCCTACAAGCCTAAAAGAACTTTAGCAGAGAATCACTGAAGCGTTGGAGAAATTTCTTATTTAAGTTCCCTAGAAATTTGAAAACTCTTACTAATTCGAAGTATTATTGTCCTTTTTTCCATTTTCTTTCAACATCCTCATTGCTTGCGTGTTCAGTCCATGATATTCTCAGTATCCTTTTGTAGAGTTAGAATTCTGTTTCTCCAAGTCTCTTCTTCCACTGTGAGATTATCCAGCATTAATGATATACAGGAGGGGGGCGATATTACATAACAGTTCAGTGCGCATTTCTTTGCTTTTAAGGAACTTTTCCTGTTTCCTAATACTTTGCTTATCTTTTGGAAGGCGTCTTTCGCTATTCCAATGTATCTTCTTATTTCTGTGTCACATATTCCGTCCCCTGTTAAAACACTTCTTAGATTTAAATTTTTGTACTTACTTGATTTTGGTATCACCAATTCGTAGTTCGCCTCTTACGCTGTTACGTTTATTGACAACTATACATTCAGTCTTCTTACAATTGATGTTTAGTCCTTTCTTACTGCCTTCCTTTACTAGTTTCTGTAGGATCTCTCCTGTAGTTTCCTGTCTGTGTTTGCTATCAACAGTGTGTCATCTACATAGCTTATGTTGTTAAGATTGTGGCCGCCAATAATGAACCCTAGTAGGACTTCTAATTCTCTCGGGATCATCTCATTGTAAAGATTGAATAAGTCCGCTTTCAGCGACCATATTTCATTGAGATGAAGAGGCTGCTGCATGGGGAGTGTTAATCCCCTAGACATAGTATCTCTCATTCTCAAAACCGTGAAGTTCCCGAAAACACAAATACTGAAGGATAACTGTTATTACATTTTGATCACAGCCGGTATTTACACACCCCAACCACGGTGGTAGGATGTGACGCATGATTTGAAATGCCGGTGTCGAATATTTCTCAGTATGGACACATTCCTAAAATCTGACCAAATAACAAATATCGGATTTTATTTTATTTATATTTAGGCAGAACTCTAAAGGAGTAAATAAACCTTCTTGTATAGTTAACAGATATCTAGCACAATAGGACAGACTGGGACCAATAGCTATGGATGCAGCCAGTGCGTTGATCACAAGATATTGTTGGATGGACAGATCCCTAGAATTAATTCGATGATCGGAGCGGAGGGTTCCCCGATTGAATCAGCAACCATGTTTCCGCGACCGTGGCAAGCCTTCGAGTTGGAGGACCTTGACCTTGGAGAGGATATTTAGAGAGGAAATCAGAAGCACCAAGTAAACTTCAAGAAATAGCATGAAAAACCCAAGATTATATCTAAAATAATCTAATTTTATGTGCTGTTTCCCTTCAGGAAGTGAACCATTATGGCTCTCTACAACTTCCTATGCTTTGTCGCTCTAAGTAATGTTTCCTCTCAAACTATTCCTCGTCGTCCATGCTATGTTATACATTTACACACGCTCGTTGAGTAGGATACATGGCGTTTGAGATGCCCAGGATACGGAAAGAAGAGAAGTCTTGGAGATTATAATACTCACATGATATATTAAAGTGGAAGCAAGGGAAACAGCGAAAAAAACTGTCTAGTTTATCTAAAATTTGACTTTATTCTATGCTGTAAAACCCATTTTTGATATCACGAAAATAAGTTACCTTCTTTGTTTTTCCACCGAGAATAGCAGCCCCTTTTTGTTAAGTAAAGTTGAGCATTTTCAGTCTGGTTATCAGAAAAATTGTAACCATTTGAAAATTTCATAATGTTGTATATTGATAGTATTATTTATTGCTACTATAAAATGAATATCTCTACAAAATTGTATATAATCCTATTAATATGCTTATTATAATGTACATATCGCGTATTCATCAACAAATAAAATCTGTATATTTAGTTACATGCACTCAAAAATACGATTGCGTGCAAGAATATGAAACACTAAACAGATCAGCAACGACTTTACCGTAAAAGCCCAAATTGTTCGACACTAAGTCGGCATTGGACACTACATGACTGTTCAGCTGACCAATCAGCACAGAGGATTTAAGGACGAAGAAGCAATAAGAAAGACTGTAAAGTGGCGAGGGAAAACTAGAGGATGGACATCT